GCTCGGCCAGACTGTGCCAAGGCAAGGGAGACCGGCCCAGATCACAGGGAGCAGCCAGGGGCTGGAGTGACTTGCTGTGTCCCAAAAGCTGCGTCTCGTCGTTCTTCTTCCGGGGAGGAAAGCCCCGCTGATTCTGCTGCGACCTCCCCACACCCCTGGCCTCCTGCACTGGCCATTCCCTTAACTCTCGGTTTTCCCTTCTTTCCAGAGCGGATGTCCTTCGCACATGCGGTGCAGGGTATGTAGAGTCTATAATTCTGGTTCTTATCTGCCCGCCCCGGGAACGCAAGCCCTAAGAAGGGAACATCTTTGATCTGTCACCTCACGTGGGTCCGTGTTGTGAAGGGTGAGCTGCAGGGAAACCAGCCAATGTCTCCCCCCTGCCCTCCGGTTCGCCCCAAGGCAGCGGTGGCTCGCCGGGTGGGAGCCCCCAGCGTGGGCAGCATCGCCGCCTCGCCCAGCGCCGCAGGATCTCGACCTTCTGTGGTCTTCAGACTGCGGTCCCGTGACTGCCTCATGCGTTTCTCGCTCCCTCACGAGGATGTAACCTGTGGCTGACGAGTCACGTGGCTGCTGTGGGCTGAGAGCACGGACAAACAGACACACCTGCGGCATGGTCAAATGACGACAGATGAGGGCGACACGGGGACATTCAAGGACTACATTGTCACTTTCTGATGTGCAACCTCTCAGGGAAACTAAATGGCGGGCCTGTGACAAGTCGGTAAAATATTTTCAGGCCTTCAGGAATCTGAACGCGGTGTGTTTACAAGTCCCCATGTCCCTTCCCGGGGGGTCGGGCTTTGCGGTGATTTCTTAATGGACGAATGCCATCGACGCTCCATCAGCAGCCTTCTCGAACGATGACAGGACTACTGTATTGGCAGGAGGCCTCGTGCCTGTGGGCCTGGATGGTCATGAAGCCCTCCAGTGCCTGCTTAGCGTTCCCTGTGTCTACACGGGGAAACGGCAGCGCTTGCAGGAAGGCTCAAGTCACGAGTTGACTTCTACGTGTCCGTGCCCTTCACCCCTTGTGGGTCAGGCCGGCCGACCTGCGACAAAGCTCCTGCCCCATTTCCTCCATTGGCCCTTGCTTTGCTCCCTTCCTCCTGCCATTAATGACATCAGCGGGTCAGTTCATGTCCGCACTCGGAGTAGGAGCTGCAGAGAGGGTCGAACATAAGCCTGGGGTCAGGCAAGTGCCTAGGCCCCTGGCTCTGGCACGTCCTGTCACCTTGACCCGAGGACAGGGCTCAGTCCTCTGAGTGGCAGCAACCCTTTTCGTCAAACTGCTTTAATACCATCTGCCTTGTAAGTGAGAATTAAAAGAGAGAATATATGTAGACTATTTGCTTCCTTTCTGCATTAGAATAGGACCGGGCAGCTTTATTTTTAATGCTTATTAGCACACTTTTACTTGTATCATAATGAACATTCGACTTATAAACCACTTACATCTTAAGCTTTCCTAAGACTTGACATTCCACTCTCCCATCTTGCTGTTCTGTTCATTGATCCAGGAAGTGTGTGTAAAATGATTACAATCACTTTCATTAGCTCTTTGGCTAATGTTTAATGGATTTAATGTTTAATGTTTAATGGATTCACATGGCTAAAATTTGAAATAGCTTGAAACATTTAATACTATTTGCATTCACAAATATTTTCATCAACACTTCACAAATTACAATTATGATTTTAAAACAGACAATTCTTCCAAATAATCCAAATCTATTAGTGCAGACTTGAAATCAAACCGAGTATTTCTAGGCATTTAAGAAATTCTTGTTAATATAGCGAAGCCAAGAATTGAATTAATTCTATCCAAAACCCAGGTTAGCAAGCTAAGCACTTTTCTAGAATGAGCTCCCGCCAGTGTCTTCGATGTGAGGGAAAGCTGCTGTCTCCAGTTATCCCTGCGACGTTTCAGCGCCTTCTGTGTATCCTTCCCACGGTCGTTCCTCACAGGGGGCTCACAGCCCATCTTGTGTGACATTTGGCTCCTGAGACTGTAGAGACGGGGGATTCTGTACCGTCTTCATTCCTTATTTTCTCATCAGTGTGACACCCACCGCTCTGTTGTTCTCCTGCCCAGTTCCCATCTAATCCCCAGCGTCTGCTCTCATCCCCTTACCCCCCAATCTGACGGCACTTCCTGTAACGCGGGCGTGCTCTGCATTTCCAAGGCAAGAGAAGTCAAGCCAGTTATTGAACATTGTCCTGGGATTCAGCAGCACGTCACCGTGGGGCTGGACTTGCCCCAACATGGGCTGCAAGGCTGGTCCCTGGAGCTCGGCCTCTGCTCGGTGTCACAGGGAACATGGGTTCCTGGCTGGTCAGTGCACACACACACACACACACACATACTCACTCCAGTCCTTCTGGAACGAGATGGCTTGGGGTAAAGGGCAGCAGGGAGCAGTGGCAAGTGGGAGGTCCCCCGTTGTCCCTCATCACTGAGGATAGCATGGGGGGCGGGAGAGGCCAGGTGTCAGACACAGATACAAGAACCTTGGCCTTGGGGCTGTGGGGATTTTAAGCCGCCGGACTGAGCAAGAATGGACTTGCCCTCTTCGAGGTGGTGCAGTAGGACACAGCACGACGCCCGGCTCAGACCGAGTCCAAACTCGGCAAGGTAAGGCCATCCCTGCTGGTTTACCGCCCGTCGCTCTAGACAAAATCAGAGCATGGTCTTCGGAACCAGGAAGAACGAAACCAGCTCCTGACTCTGCTCCGTGAAGCGTGACCGCAGCAGAGTCCCCGAGCCCCCCTAAACTTCCACTTCTGCCCCCGGCGGAAACAAGCCAGCGACGCCAGCCGCCAGCAGGGGACTGAGTAAATTAACTGTGTCGGAGAAAGTGGCCAATAGAAGAACGGCGCCTGCGCTGACGAGGAGGGGACGCCACGGTGTTTTAAGCGGAAAGAGCTAAGAGCACGGCGGCGAGATTCGCGGCCGCTGGTCTCACCTTAGGAGACGTAACGCGCTAACGTGTGCGTGTGCACGGGGCGGCTGGAGGCTGCGCTCGTGTGCGCTCGTTCTCCCTGGACTGTGCGCTCCGTGAGGACGGGACTGTCACACCAGCCCCTGAGGAAAGGCACCAGCTGGTGGGGACAGGTGTGAGGAAAACTGACTTCTCACCGTGTTTTCTACCTTTCAGACTTGTAGCCACTTAGTACCCCTGCAAAAGAATAATCCAAATAAATTCAGGGAATTTTTAAAATAAAGAAATGCTCGATTCCGACCAAAATACTGCCATGTATTAGAGTTCTGTCTTACAGTCTCCCACACAGTCTCTTTCGTGCTCGCCGTTTTAAGGACGGTCTAAATGCTGACCATTCACAGATGTGTATCTCCTCTGTTTAAAAAAAAATTGAGGTACGATAGACAAACCCCATTGGGTTTGTTTGAGGTGCATGAGGAAAGACTCCGCCTGTGTCCCCGTTGCAGACAGTCCCCACAGAGCAGTCCCCGGAGTTTCTGTGTCACCGTGTTTGAGTTCAGACTCACTCACTCATGGCCTCGTTGAGCATCTCACGGACGTTTCAAAACTTGGCAAACCTCAGCCATTCTTCCCCATTCTCACCCTTTCCTCACAAAGCTTTGTGTCTCCAAGCCGTCCCCTAGCCCAGCACATGCTGCCACGGTAGGTGACGTCTGTCCTCCTGCTCTAGGAAGCTCTCTGGGAACAGCGTGGTCTCTTCCCTCTTTCTTCGAACCCCCTGCCGAGTCCTGCTGTCTTCCATGTTCTTGTCTGACTCTGCAGTGTGACTGCTTTTGCCTGAGCTGTGATCCCCTCCCCTGGTTCCCAGGCTTCCCCTCCAAACCTCCAGGGCCATTCCCTCAGAAGTCCTAACACGGCCCAGTGCAGGTGACCGTCCTGCTAGCCTACCGAAGATGTCGATGGTTTCCCCTCAGCACCCCTTAGGTTTACGGTCGTACGCATGTGTGTGTGCTCCTTTGCATACATTCTTTCTCGCTGACTATGACCTTGATGAGGGCAGGGGCTGTGTCCGTTCACGCAGGGTCATGCAGGGTCCTATGCCTACACCCCAGCATGCCTTGGCCTGGCGCTTGGAATACGATGAGTGCATCATCCTCGTATGAATGGACCCGTCGGGGCGTGAACGAGCTCTTACTGTGTGGCAGGTGCCGTGCTGGGCGCCTGACCTAGGGCAGTGAGTCTCTCTTCGCAGCAGCATCTGCCCGTGGGCTTCGAGCACGGACAAATAGAAAATGAGTACAAGAGGGTATTTCCAGGTGTGCATGGACGTGAGCAGATCTGCTGCTAGGGCAGGTGGGAGGGACCTGCCGAGGGGCTGTCCGTGGAAGGAGGAGACGAAGAACAGGTTTGGTTTCCTCCACCTGACAAAGAAAGTGTGTGAACGAGGTGATCTGCGACAGTCGTAAGATTCTGCGTCACAGTGTTTTCTCGAGCCAGCCCTGCTTGGGGACAGCTGGCCTAGGTCTTCCTCCCAGGGCATCTCAGGAACACACAGGACGTGTGGGAGGTGGAAACAGGGACACTGGCTGTAGGACACCTATGGAGGGCATATGGCGCGTCCTCTACTGGTCCCGACAAGCCCGTGGGGCCGCAGCCACCATGGAGACCTGAATCCTAACACCACGGGCCCAGGATCTCGCCTGCCTCCGATCTGGTCCCCACTGCACCCAAGGTCGTGGGGACAACTTGTTCTCAAAACAAACAAGATGATGATACAACTGACCGATTCTCTTTATTAAATAACAAGTACATAGTCTATATACAGTAGCTGGGCTGGGCCACGAGCGCTCTCCCCTCCCCCGTGGAGGCCCCGCGGGACGCAGCCCCCGCTCAGTGGCTCGCCCCGATGCCCGACACCGTGGGAAGCAGCCGGCAAGTCGCAGATGTCGCCTGAGCGTCGTCCCCACACGCGTGGGAGAAACGGACCGTCTGCACTCGCGGGGACTCCGAGCAGGACTAGCAGCAGTGGCCTAAGCCCATGGGGCGCTTCTCGGCCTCTCAGCAATTCAGCCAGCTGCCGCTCGCCAGGGTGTGGGTGACTTTCCTTGCGTTGGGGTCAAACTCCAACTGGGAAGGTCCGCTGAAGAAATAGTAAAATCCTGGAAATACGGAGGAGGGAACCGTGAGATACTGTTTCAGATAAACCAGCTTGGCTACACACAGAATGCAGAATGCCAGGCGAGGAGGATTCGGTGTTTATAGGGTTTTACTGGGTGCCGGATTCCGACAAGTGTTTGATCGGGTTGTTTTCTCACGTCTTCCTTCAACAGTCCTGTGAGGGACGCGCATCTAAGTCTGCCCTGCAGATGGGCAGGGGGAGGGGCATGCGGGCTGGCCCAAGGTCCCTTGCAGAGGACAGGCTGGCGACAGCACCGCCTTCCAGCTCTGTCCGACGGCGAAGCCAGGCTCCACTTACCATGGTATTCTGCTTCCAACCAGGCAAAACTCTCTGCTTCTTTGGAAACCATGAACTCTTTGTTTTCTTTTTTTCCCAACAGTCCTCCTCCCCTTTCCTTCCCTGAGGGTCCCTTTCAGACCCAGAGAAGCATGGAAACCCCTTGAGAACACCAGGACCCTTCAAGGCTCGGCCATCCTGGTGCTCAGGTCACCTTCCGATAACAACCACCAGCCTTCACTCCTCTCTCCTCCAGCAGGAAAAAGATACAACTGGTTTAAAACCCCGGGTGCACAAAGAAGCGATGATTTGCAACTGACTGGCGTGGGCAGCGACTGACCACTCGGGGACATGTCCCTGGGAATCAGTAGTTATGGCAGGATGGGGTGAGGGAAACGTGGCCACACTGCTGGAGGGGACTCCTCTGCGCGCAGGGTGATCTGAGAGCTCAGGTCAACCCTGAGCAGTTTGCTGTTTTCCGCGTGCACGAAACAGAGATGAGTGTCCACCTATCACATCAATGTGTTCTAGAAGTCATCATAGACTTGGCACAGAATTGGTAAGTAGCAATTTGGGGGAGAAAGGAAGGAGCTGCTTAGAGAAAACCTGTCATTACACAGGGCACCCGGGGGGCTCCGTCACTTAAGCATCTGACTCTTGGTTTCGGCTCAGGTCATGATCTCACTCATGAGATCATGGGCCCGGCGTTGGGCTCTGCGCTCAGTGCGGAGTCTGCTTGGGATTCTCTCTCCCTCTGTCCTTCCCCCACTCTCTCCCTCTCTCAAGTAAATAAATAAGTCTTATAAAAAAAGAAAATTTGTCATTACAAATTAATCCAATTGTCCCTCCAATACCCTAGAAAGTTCCCAGTGCCCCGTGACCAAACAAACAGTATCTCCTTACCAAATGCTTCAAAAGCAGCGTCAACCTTCGGGTCCACCCCGGGGAAGTCTTCCGCTATTTGCCTGGGGAAGCCCGGCTCCATAGATTGTCTCTTCTCGTCAAATCTGCACCCAGTAAAAGAAATACAGCATGGCATTGCATGGAAGCCACGTGACCAGAAGCCCTAAGTCATGTCAGGTTTACTGTGGGATTCTAGTAAACTTTCCTAGTATCGTAAATGAACGTCAAGCCGGTCAGACACTACAGAAATATGGGACTTTAACGGGACTGCAAACACAGCTCTTAAAACTGTCTCTCCCCCGGAGCAGAGGCAATGTCCAGATGTCTCAGATGTCTGTTACCATACTTCTCGAGCCTGGATGGAAAGAACCCTAATCATCTTTCTATCACAAAGGCTTGCAGGTACGGACAGATGAGTTGGCTCATTCATCTCAAATACGAATGTCAAGTCCTCTACCATATGTGGCTTGTGCATGTCCTCCCCACCCTGCACGTCTGGACTTCCTCAGCAGCCTCCTAGGGAAAGGGATGGCGGAGACCAGGAAAGCACAGGGAATGGGTTTTGGGCTCATTGGCTGGACCTTGGTTGGTCCTCCCAGTCATCGGGCAGATGGCCCAGGCATTGGCGTCTGTGTGTCCTGGGTTCTGGTCGTAAACCCGGAACGCTGCTGCTCACTGTCCTCTTAAAGACAGCACTAATGAGCGGTGCGGTCAGGGGAGGCCCTGAAGCATCATATAGCAAAGCTGGAAAGATGAGACAAACACCCAGGGAGGCGATGAGTGGACAGGAAAGGAATGCTAACGTGTGGCCCGGATTCCCAATGCTTCTTTCGAAACAAACACAAGCCCATCTGCATTTGGAGTCCAGCCAGGAAGCTCCACGGGGTGGTGGGGCTTGAGGCAGGACTTGAAGAGGGAGTGCACTGGCAGGAGGTGAGGGGGGTGCAGAGGTGAGAAGAGGCTGTCCAGGTAGGGGGGTGTGGTTGCAGGGGGAGCTCCAGCCTGCGGCTCACGGGCTCAAGGTGGGACCGAGGCAGAGGCCCTGGGACCACCTGAGACCAGTGCTGCTGCCTTTGAAAGCGAGTATGTCCCCATCCTCCGTACTGGGGCGGGGGGGGGGGTAGGCTGGGCTGCGAGTGACCTGGGGGTATCCTTGGAAGAAGATAATTTCCCTGCTGAGGCTCCATACAAAGTCATCCCAACACCGTCTTACCGCCAGTATTTGTCTCCTACAAAGAAATACGTTTTCTTCTTTTCTTTATCAAAAAGGGCCGCATCAATTTTCCCTACAGTTGCAGGAAAACCCAGGGTGCGGATGCCTTTTGGATAACCTGCTTGTGCCTCCGTTCCTCTGACGGCCCAGAACTGATTTCCTGTTAAGAAACATCATTAGGAGTCTTGCTGAATTTATGACAGTTAAGCCTTCGAGTTTTAAAAATACTTGTCAGTACCTTTGATTTTCGGAGTAAGGATTTAATCCCCAGCTCAAAGTAGATTTTTCACAAAAATGTGTGGATTGAATGAATGAACACAAATGCAAAGAGGGAATTTACAACTCTGAGTGATTTATATCCCTACATGCATTTTTATTATCTGTAAAATATAAATAAAATAACACCAGACCCAGTTGTTTCTTCAGAACTTAGAGTGACGAAGGAGACACAATTTGTCAGAGTAGAGAAAGTTGAAGTTCTATTTAATTTTCCTGAAAAGGGGTTTATTTCAACGGGTTAGAAGAAATTATTGTTTCATAATTACCTTTAAAAAGGAAAACAGTGTCCTTGCTAGTGTCTTCATATGCGGCATCCAGGCCTGAAGGGAGCGACGGCCAAAACGAAGAGATCAAATAAAATCCAGGTTCAAGTGTCCTGAGGGATTTGCGCCAAAAATACCTAAAATATGTAAAAGAGGAAACGAAAATTGAGAAACAGACCTTCACCTTTAGGGTGTTTTTCTCCCTGTGGTGCCTCATCCACCCACCCCCATCCCCTCGGCTGCTAGGCTCGAGTGTGGGCAGAAATCAGGCATGCTGTCAACAGGAAAAGATCGTTTCTTTCTCTTGGGACGCTCGCCCCCGACCTCCTGCCCAAGGATTCTGGCGTAAGATCTTCTAGAGAGTAGGTGGCTACCGTCCATGCAAACCAGTGTAGGTATCACAATGCTGGTCACGTTTTCAGACGGACAGACTGGTGTGTGTGTATGTGTGCGTGTGGGTGTCAGTATTTCCAGAATGACTGTGGAAGCATCTACACGCGTCCTCGACGGTGGGTGGCAGCAGGGAGCCGGTGTGGCGAGGGAGACTGGCTCTTGGCTTCCCTCCCACGTGTGCAGCCTGAACGTGTTGTCATGGACATAGTCTGCAACCGCAAATTAGCTGGTTAAGGATAATGCCCTCCTGATGCCATCTTTAAAGGAAACAAAGATAAAACTCTAATTCTGAAGTTCGACTTGAGCCTTTGGAAAAGCAAGAGTGGCTTATAACGACTGGAGACAAACACGAGAGGACAGGCATCGAATCAAGCGTTGGAAAATGGGTGGGAAGCTTTTGGGGAAACATGGAGGGTGAGTCACGAGAGCTCAGTGATTTCAAGTTCAGAGAAAACGCTTTGCTCTCAGAATTTAAAATTTCCGTCAAGTCTCCGTTCTCCTTACTAAACATTGAACATCAGAAGAAGAGAGAGGGAAGTGGAATCTTCCGGTCTGACCTGTCCTTAAAGAAGAGGATTTCTCCCCTCAGGGTGCTGACCGCATCGAAGGACAAAGCAGGGTCGCACGCGGCTGGGGTCCCCGGTCCTGAAGTCACAGATTCTGTGGGCGCCACGGGGTCATCCGGGGAACCAGGGGGAGATCCTGAAGGGAACAGATGTGGGGAGGCAAACAGAGGGACTGTGACGCTATCGTCCACGTGAGTGCTTTCCCAACACTCTCAGGGGCTTTGAGAGGAGCTGCAAATGCATCGTGCCGCGTTTTCAAGCTCTCCCGGAGACCAGCCCTGCAAAGCTCCTGTGCCTGGTGTGTGCAGCCTCGCTCACCGTACAGGGACTGGATGCCATCCACGTCATCTTGAGAAAGGCGGAAGCGGGACAGGTCTGTGTCTGCTCTGTAGACTGGGTACATCAGAGCGCTGGGGTCGGCCGAGTGAAAGAGACCCAGGGAGTGGCCAAGTTCATGAGCAGCGACCAGGAATAAGTTGGTTCCTATTTAAGAAATCATAAACAACGGTTACTTGGTACGAATCCATGGACGTCCTCACACAGGTCAGCTGTGTGTTCTCTTGGTTCCTCCCTGGAGGCACACAGGGATTCCTTTGCCTGGTGTGTGGTTAACGGGCCCACACTTCACAGCAGGCCAAGTGTTTTTCAAGGCTCTTTCTTGAAATCAGTCTTTGAGACAAAATATCCAGTCATGTCCCCCCAACCCCCTCTCCTGTCTCAGGATCCTAGCTGAGAGCCAGCTCCCTTGTCCTGTGCTCTGGAGTGGGCCCAAACCGCATGTGTAGCTCATCCATAAATGTTTCTCTTCATTTGTTAATGAAAAGCTAAACACTGTTTCAACATATTAGTGTTTGCCAGTCATGGCCTCCGTTACATGAATCACAATTTATTCATCTCGATTCTGGAATCCTGAGACAACCACGCTCCTACGATTCCCCATTGGAATGTTGCCTGCATAATTTTCCTCCCAAGATTATTACAATTAAGCACACATTGGGTCTGGAAATATTAGTAAGGATCATTGACATAGGGTTTGCAAGATTGGTCTCAAAGATAGCACGCCTAATCGTGCTACCGTTTGCCACGAAAGAGATCTGGGCCACACAAACACTGGCTATATTCACATTTTTTGCCTTCATATTATTAAAAATAACCCAGAATACTGAAAATTGGAAGTCATCAGGTAATTATATTTGACATGCTGAATTTACTTTTGCAAGTGTTATTTGTGTAACTTGTGATCCTAGTACAGTCCTCATTAGAGGCTTTGCAGGAAGAAGTTGTTAATTCAGTAGAATCAAAGAAATTTACGGAGCACTAACTTCACATTCATACTCCCTATTTTGTTTGAGTTTCAGAAGCAGTATTACTTGTTTTAGCCAATTTTTTGAGAACTTTGGAAGCCAATCCTCAAAGTATACGGTTATGAACTGACAAATATTCTTCCACCTAAAAAATCCGGACACTGTATTAGGGGGCAAGTGCTTTCCTTCAGAACTACTCTATAGAAACTCTCGTTAACCTAGAGATAGTAAAATGCTGATTTACGAAGAAAACCTAAAAAGGAACCTCAGTTCCTGAAATTTAACTCTCATCTCCCTTCTGAAGAGTAAAGAAGAAACAGCCCCAACTGAATACAAGCAATATCCAGGGCACCGTCCCTTGGGTATCTGCAACTCAATATAATGGGAGAATATTCTCGAGGACGGTCCTGAGCTCACCCTAGAAACATAGTCATCAAAGAAATACTTACTGATGTCCCCACACCGTGCTTACCAAGACAGAGAATAAACTTTTCAGACATCTGAAAAATGGTTAAAACAAAAATACATTCTACTAATTCTCAAACCATTCAGGAAATATGGGACACCCCACTTCTTGAAGATTCTGAGCTATTAAGAATTTTCTAAATCTAAAGAAAACCCCCACCAACGTCATTCCGAGAGATGTGTAACCAACCTGAAGTGTCCCTTGTCCATTGTTCATCGTCGTCAAAGTGGGCATCTCCAAAAATGCCGGGCCCAGGCGGGTAGGCATGACCCAAAACATTGCCAGGTCCATCAAAAGGGCTAAAGTCTCCATGATCTAACAGAGAAAGTGTTTTTATTGGAAAGATAGGTAATTCAGATCTCTTTGGAATACCCTCCCCCAACAGCACCTAGATAAATAGATGCATTTCATGGTTTTTGTGGGTTTTTTTGTTTCTTTGTTTTACCTCTAACTGCAAAGGAGATCTTTATGTCAGCCTCTCCTTCATCAGCCCTGGAGAAGGTCAGTGGAGTCACCTCCTGCCAGAGGCTCAGGGCTTTCTCAATGGCAGAATCAACAGCATCTCTTGGCAAATCCAAGGTATAATTTATAATCCTTTAAGAGAAAAATCGAAGAAGTTCTTTTCTCCTGTGATAGTCATTAGTAAAATCTGGGTAGTGTGAGAAAACCTCTTTGGACCTGTTACCTGTAGGTAAGGTGGGTTTTCCTCCACTTGGGCATGCCAGGGAAGGTGGTGAAGTCACCGACGTCGGGAACGCCACACCTGGGCTTACGCATCATCTCCAGAGTGTCCGTGTCCAGCTTCCCCGTCACCTCCAACCCGAGGAACTTCTGCATTTCTCGGATTTTCTCAACGACCGGACCATGGTCCCTTCTTCTAACAAACGGTTTTGTCTCTTTTGCAAGTTTGTAGTATTTTTCCAGGTATTGCTAACAGGGTAGTAAGTAAAGTTTTTATGTCATACTTTGATTTTTAGCCTTTCGTAGTAAAATGCAGCTGCTGACTCAAACTGTGTGCAGTATCTGTCTGGTTTGCAGAAATCAAGATGAGTGTCCTATTCAGCTCAACTCTCAGTTAAAGACTCCTCCTCGCTTCTGTTCTGCCTTTGTGGCCAGGTAATCTCTGGAGCCTGGTCTACTCCCAAAGCAATGAAAATGAAGCAGAAAACCAAGATAATGTCTTTTATCTTAAAAGAGGAACACAGAGCACATAGGCTTCTTTGGGCGTAATCCTGTATTTCAGGCCCATTTATTAACTCCCTCGACTTTCTACTTTATGCATCTCCTGGGGACCTGCCCTAAGAAGAAAGCTGGACAAACCCCTGCGTCTAGACGCGACACTAGCAACGTAAACACCAGCTACATGCACATTGGATTAGATGTCCCCATGGGAGACACATTTAATTACGCTCTCTACCTGCTACTCGCGCACCCCAAGCCCCAGCGAGTCCTGGGAGGGACGCAGCCACCAGTTACCTGAACAAGTTCCATGCTGTCCTCGTCCTCTGCAGCCCTGTCCGCTGGGTAGGCTGAGCATACAGCCACACAGAGCAACAGGAGAGCTGGAAGGTTCTGCATTTCCACAGGCTCTTCTTGGCTCTAAGTCGTCGTGGTGCTCTCTACCTTCTCCTGGGTCCGGTCTCTGGAGCCCTGACTTTTATAGGGTGACAGAGGTGGGTTAGGTTGCCCGCAGCTTGACTCATGATTGCTTTCATCCGAATGACAGCAGGACCATGTCCAAAAATTCCAAATCTGAAGTAGGATGATATAACCTATTTTACTAATTTCTCTCAACCTTTCCAATTTTGCAAATCATAACAGTGATTAAGCTCCAGGAAATGCTTCCTGTCTTCGTAAGAAGAGAACTGGGGCATTTTTTTTTTTTTTAATTCTGGAAAAAAAAAAGTGCCCGGAATTTACTAGACCATTTATGTTTGTGTGTTTGAGAGGAGAAATAGGCTGACTCGGTAAAAAGTCAAAATTGGTTAGAACATATGAAATGCAGTCTTATTTTAAGAAAAACAGACTTAAAATCAAATACAATGAGATGTAAGTAAATGACAAGCCGTGCTTACATAGCTCAAGTGCACACTGTTAGATTTTGTAGTAACAGAAGGAAGAATATCTAGAATAAGGTTGGAAGGGAGAGTCTGTGTTTTGAGCCCTTGACTTGAAGTCTGTGTTATTGGTTTCTGGTTGGATTTGTTAGGAGAAGGCTCACGGGCAGGACAGAACAAAGACCGCGAGGGAGGAGGTGTGCCCTTTCTCCTCCGGCTGGTCTTCCTTCTGTCCCAACCTGGCAGCAGGTAGCAGACCTGCAAGGACCACCCCCGCGACCTGGCGGGGTCGGAACAAAGCACGTTGTGCCAGGACCAAGTTCTCCGTCATCGTCCCCGCCGCCCTTCTCACTGTCTTTCCATCTCTCTCCCTCCTCCCTCAAATCAACATCATATATACTTTGAACTTCTTTTTTAAAAAGATTTTATTTATTTATTTGAGAATGAAACCGAAAAAGAGAGAGGAAAGGGAGCGGCAGAAGGAGAGGGAGAAGCAGGTTTCCCACAGAGCAGGGAGCCTGATGTGGGGCTCGATCCCAGGACCCTGAGATCATGACCCGAGCCGAAGGCAGAGGCTTTATGACTGAGCTGCCGGGATTGTGGGTGAACTTTGAACTTTAAAACAAAAGCCACCCTTAGTTGTCTCCCCCAGGGTGCTTACCTGTTTTCTCTTCTCTCTTCTTCCCTTCCGCTTCCTTCCTTTTCCTCCGTGCTATCGGTCCCGCAGAGCGCTGCTCCCGCCAACAGTGCTCGTAGGGAAGACTGTGGACATCCACAGGGGAGGGAACTCGGCTGAACGTTTTACCATCCTCCTGCCACCTGCCCCTCTTCCTCACTGACCTTGCCTCCCCTACCCTTAGAAAAACAGAGCAGAAAAAGAGAAAGAAATTAAATTGGAAAGAGCCAAGTTCATACTTTCGAAACGTCTTAAGTGAACACTTTTTATTTGCCACCACGCTTCGTTTTTTCTTTGCTTATTTGTTTGCTAAAGAGCAGAGCACCCGGGAGTGAGAAACTCGGTGAAACGAAGAAAAATGAGCAATTAATAAGTGCAAGTTTTATTCCCTGCCTTTGCATTTCTTGTGTATTTTCCTTCTTTCTCAGTATCTTTGTACGTTCTGAATAAACACCAGAGCGATCTCATCCAGCGCGCGTCACAGGTGCAGTGAGAGGTCTGTGCCTGGAGGTGACCAGTCGTCTGAAGCCTGGGGCTGTGCGTCAGGGGTAAGCATCTGTTTTTAGACTAGATTCTATCTAAAGACATCTCGTTCCTTTAGGGGAAAGAATTTGGGTCTCATGTCGACTGAAATCAAGGGGAAATGCTTGTCCATCCTGATGTGAGGGTAGCCAAGGGGGCGGAGCGGAAACAGGGCTGGTACTGGGAGGGAATTCAGGGAAGGCTCGATGGACGGAGGCAGAAGTCACTAGGGACCACGCTCTCAGTTCCTTCTGGATTAAGGTTTTTCCTGCGAACATTTTCTCTAGGATCATGACTAATAAAACATATTTCAAGTTCAGAGGGAAACATTACAGATACCATGTTTATTTTCCCAGACGTTCAAACACAATAGGCAAAATGGGCTATGTTGTTGCTCCTGGAATAAATGCAGACTTCTCTGGAAGTGTCGTGCCTCAGGAAGAGGTCGTTGTTTGTTTCTCAGTGGCACCTCGGACCGCCTCGTGCAGACTGTTCACGCGGAGCTGGAGTGCGATGTCCCCCTCCCTCACCATAAATTCTCGGTTCTTCCTGGGCTCCTAATGGTGAACAAGGCACCCGGCACCGGCATAAACCGCACACCCTAGTATTGCTGAAAGAATTAGTAATCTACCAATTATGAATGAAAGTTTCCCAGGAAAAGTCAAAGAGGCGAATGAAAAGTCAAAAAAACCTCCTGAATCATGGAGATGTTTCTAAATCCCCAGATATCACCAAATACCCTATTAACTGAATTTTTTTCTTTTCTTGCCTTTGAAAAAGATTCAAGAGACCATCTTAACTGTGTCTAATGAAGAATAAATTGAAGGCTTGTCTACACCTCTTCCTCATCCCCATGTCTGTAAAATTCTCAGACGGCAGCATCGGAGCAACAATGCATGAGAGATGATTTGCATTTTATAGATTAAATTTTAAAAGACAATGCATTGTATCTTGGGGTTTCTGAACTGGAACACTCTTCTTGGAGATATCTGTTTACTTTTATTTATTTATTTTGCGTGTTGATATAAGTTCACGTTCATTACATTGAAAGTCTGGGTGTTGTTAAATAATATCAATGACTCACGTTTTTTTTGAGTATTTTAGTTTTGAAACTCATAAACCCTAAGATACAAAGTAAAAGACTGTCCATGAATCTGTGTTATCTTTGCATAATCCAACCCAGTGCTATTTTTGGATCATACTAACTTGAACAATAAATGTGCTCTACAGTAAATAAGTAAGTAAGTAAATAAAAGGCAATGCGTTCGTGAGGGAGAACAGGTAGATTACAGAGCAGCTGAGCGGGAGAGAGAAGGAAGAGAAAGGGAGTGACTACACCAAACGCAGAGGGGATCTGTGAACACTGGGGAAAAACTTAGGCTTTTCCAGCGCAGGGACGAGAAGGACCGTCCCGTAGGATTTGTCACACGGCTGAGCCACGGCAGAGCCGGAGAAGGGCCGGACGCGCAGAGCCGACCCGCAGGGCTCCGAGACGCGGCTGTACACTTAGACCCGTCGGAATCCAGCTTGGACTCAAGAACCGGCATCGGTCCCAAGTCGCAGCCTCTCTGACAGCCTCCCCCGTTTGTCTCTCCACTCGTCGCGTTCCTCCAGGACTGATGCGACGAGGTAACATGGGCACCCTCCACCTCGGGACGCGGTCCTCTCTCCTGTGTCTGAGTCTCCGTCTTCGAATCCTCGCGTCCCCAAACCGCTTGGAGACCACAAGTAACGGAGAAACGTGGAGGGAACAGGACCCAATGACTCTTTAAAAGTAGGAAGGAAGGAAGGAGGGAGGAAAAAACGCAGGCAGGAGGGAAGGAAGACAGGAAGGGTGCCGTCCGGCAGGGCAGGGCGTGCTCAGGGCGTCGAGGGAGGGGCTGGCCCGGTGCTCTGCGGAGGGAAGGTGTCCCCTGCAGGACAGGCCACCGAGGTGCGGATGTGGAGGGAAAGGCAGGAACAGCATGAACGCCGACACAGAGTCAAGAAGGCTGAATGTCTGTCAGGAAAATGACAGAATTCATTTCTTATTGAAGTAAAACGTGCGTGGAGAGTAGTGACAAAAAATGAGAAATGAAGTCGTGGGCAGACAGGTTGAAACTCATTCGTGAAAACCCACTATCTCTGGCTAAGATGTTTTCTTTATTCTGTGGGTAATGGAAAGTCATGTCTTTATACTATATTTTAAATAAAGTTTTATATATTTCAGTAAAGCTTCATATTTTTAGTATAGGAAAATACAGAATATAGAAAAGAGTAGAAGGTAGAAAAGAAATCATAAATAGTCATGCCACGAGGAGGAAAACATGATTAACACTTCACTGTGCTTCCTTCTAATTTTTACTTTTTTATATCACAGTGATCAGGGGAAATTATAAAAGTGCATCTGTTTTTCCACAATTCTGAATCTCCCCAGCCAGAGAGGAGGACTAATCAGGCAATATATCCTCTTTGAATCATAGGACAAAACATGTTGCTTACACGTTTTTTACATTTCTCAAATTATTTTTTATTTTTTGCATTTTTATTTTTATTTTTTAAATTTTTTATTATGTTAAGTTAGCTACCATATAGTACATCATTAGTTTTTGATGAAACTTACAGGTTTTTTTTTAATCCATGTTTTTCTTAATTGAAATCCTACCCCATATGCTAATTTTCATGGCTGTTTGCCTCAGAAATGTCCAAACATCTTAGCTGGAAGGTGAACCAGAGCAGAAGAGGGAATTAGGAACAGATCATCTGAGCACGTGGATGGCTCGGTCTTCTTTCGTTTATGAGAGCATAATGACTCAGATCACTCAACAGGAGTGGTAAAAGTGTCGCAATCCATCCCTGACATTCCTTGTGGTGGCAACGGGCTTTGTGTGGCTCCGGGCAACTCTGATATTATGGAAAGAAGGAGACCGTTTTGTAATATTCTTGGCGGAGGTACCGCGATTGTGCAAACGGAGGAACACGAATTAAGGTTTCTAGTGGTTCTCCAACAGGCGGCATGTTCCATCTGATTGTACAAAGTGTCGCTCGAGAAGCACGTTTTCTGATGTGAGGGTCACAGTGGGCCCAGAAGGGGGACTGGTGGGAGCAGCAGTGTGGGGCAGGCACAGTCCCAGACTGCTGAGCTCACCTGCAAGCCACCGTTCCATGGGAAACGGACTTGTTAAGCACACTGTGGAAAGACAGCTCTGTTCCACTTCTTAGGGCCTGCCCCATACATTCTGGAAGTGTTCATTTTGAGTCAGTTGGCAATAGTACGCTTTTACGTAATTTTCTTCTGGGGCTGGCTCCCCCATGTCTGAGCACATCCTTTGTTGACCTCTCCT